TTCTTGATCTCGCTGCCAAACTCGATGAGACCGCAAATTTCTTATGTGCGGATAAATGGAAAACAAGGTCGGGATCTCCTGTCGAGTTCCCTGCTCCTTTCGGCCGTGACCTCACTAAAGAAGTCAGTTTTATGTTATTAATACTAATATTTTACCTTGTAAATCTTATATGAGTTTACATCTCTTTTAGGAAGAATACATTGCCGATCTTGATTCAAAGACAGGAGCATCGCTAAAACTAACTATTTTGAATAGAAAAGGACGAATATGGACAATGGTAGCTGGTGGTGGAGCCTCAGTAGTTTACGCGTATGTTTTCAGTTCACCGCTTTGTTCACTGCAAGTATTGTTAACTTATAGAGATACTGTATGCGATCTTGGAGGTGCAGGTGAATTAGCCAATTACGGCGAGTATTCCGGAGATCCTTCAGAGACCCAAACTTTCGAGTATGCTAAGACCTTATTGTCCGTAATGACTGAGGGGCCACCTCATCCTCAAGGCAAGGTGCTGATTATTGGAGGATCCATCGCGAACTTCACGAATGTGGCAAAGACGTTTGGAGTAGGTTCTTTCTGAAATGCATATCTTAGTCTACCACTTTGAAAATATAAAATCATGAAATGAAATTTTGAAAGAATATAATAATATAGCAATAATGTAAGAGTGTTGTAATATCTCATTTCAATAATATAGCATATCTTCTTAGGGAATAGTTCGGGCTTTCGAAGTATTTATTGAACGTCTACATGAACACAAGGTAACCATCTATGTACGCCGTGGTGGCCCTAATTATCAAGAGGGCCTGCGGAAAATCAAAGAAGCTGGTAGGTTTGTAAAACTTAATTCTCATAAGTTGATAGTTGGAGTATACAATGAAACTGAACATTAAGCATCGAAACTCGACCTGCCAATGCATGTATTTGGGCCTGAAACGCACATGACATCAATTGTTGGACCAGCCCTTGGAATCAGTGAACTACCAGCTGTTCCTCATGCTCCTCAGACTACTGGACAGTTCTTGCTCAGCCCGGAAAGGAATGTACGTTGAAAACAAAATAAGTCATTAGGGACTCATAAAATTTGAATTAGACTCACTTTAATCAAAGACTTGATTCCGCTTTTCTTTGCAGACAGCGGGCGGTATTCGAACTCCCGAAGTCGATCCATCCTCAGGTGACGCAGCCGTACAAATGGACAACGACGAAGACGTAATATATATAACTTGCTGTTGTCTCTGGTTAATGCTTATTTCGTTGACCATGCTTCCGATTTAGGCACATAAAGTCTACGACAGTTTGTTTGAAAGGAATACGAAAGCCATTGTGTGGGGACAACAACAAAAGGCAATTCAGGTGCTGTTCTTAACCAAACTTCCATCAGTTTTCAGTGTTGACTTGTTATGATTTTTCGCATAACGTGGAAGTTTACAAGTTGTGGCTGACATTAGTATAGAGAATATAAATTGACAGACAAAGATTGGATAAGAATTATTTACATCAGCAACTAATACTTTATCGAATAGTCCTCCATCTTCAGGGCATGCTTGATTTTGACTACGTCTGTCGTCGTAAAGAGCCATCTGTTGTGGCATCTACCTATCCTTTTACTGGAGACAACAAACAGAAATACTATTTCGGACAACGAGTAAGAGACACCACCGCAATCAAACCGAAAATGATGTAATTTATCATCAGGAAATTCTCATTCCTGCGTACAAATCCATGGCTAAGGCTTTTGCCACACATCCAGAAGCCAGTGTGATGGTCACATTCGCTTCGCTTCGCTCTGTTTACGAAACCGTGCTGGAGGCCCTCCAAGTCCCACAAATTCGTGTTATAGCTATCATCGCTGAAGGCGTACCTGAGAATCAGACTCGAAGATTGATCAAGGTGGAGGACTCTTTTGGTCTAAAGATATCCCTTTCATGTTTTTTTTTGCAGATGGCTGGCGATAGGGGAGTTACCTTGATTGGTCCTGCGACAGTGGGAGGAATCAAGCCAGGGTGTTTCAAAATTGGTAACACTGGTGGAATGATGGACAATATTCTCTCTTCGAAATTATATCGTCCTGGAAGGTCTGCTACCAAAGATGTCTTTATATAGCTATATATAAACTGCTAGTAAATAATTTCATTGCTCCTGTTGATTGCGTACGATTTAGTGTTGCTTACGTTTCACGAAGTGGTGGATTGTCGAACGAGCTGAATAACATAATTGGATCGAATTCCGATGGAGTATTTGAGGGAATTGCTATTGGTGGCGACCGCTATCCAGGATCTACTTATACCGAACATATTCTTCGTTATCAGAACGATGACAGGTAGCGAAAAGTGTTTATAATTAGTGTTTTAGTATGATCACACCACTAAAATTATACTCATTTTTTCGATAGCTAGTAGGTTATCCAATATTTGAGATTAAACTGAAGGCATTTTGCAAAATTAGTTCTTGAACCACTGCTAACGGAATGATTCAATTACACAGCACAAATATAGCAGAAGTGTATGTGTATATCAACTTTCGTAGTAAAGGTATCTTATCCGAGCGTCATCTAAGCCGGCAGTAAAGATATCCAGCGAACGGCTTGAGCTCAACATTTTTTTTTAGAAAGCCCATTCTAGGAATTCACGAGTCTCTTCTGAGCTGCACGCGAGGCGT